AAAAGTAGATTATTTTTTCACATACAAAACTCAATCAAAACTATCTAAAACCTAATGTTTAGTACAATGAATCTGTTACAGTATTTAGGTCACTTTTTAGGATCTGTAATCTAACCAAGTATGTTTTTTTTTTCCTTTACTTTAAAGTTTAACCCCTCATTACATGCTACATATTTAAATATGACTGGCACTCATCATGAAAGGAGTTGTTTATGCACTRTAAAAATGAAGTATTGATTTATTTAACCAAGTTATGTCAAGTGGTTCCACTAAACCCAGCTGAGTAAATGTAAAGCAGTTTCTTCACGTTGATTTAGTGGAACCAGTTGACATAACCTGGTAAAGTAAATTAAATAAGTCATTTCTTAGAACATATTTTTAATTTTACTTTCCCGCTATATTGTGTGCTTTTTCATGACTTTTTACCAAAGTTATTTTCTGTTAAGGTATTTTTACTTTTACATAGAAATGTTTTAAAATACTTGGGACACCCCTGTATAAAACTACTTGAAGCCTGTTTAACTAATATWTTCAGAACAGCTTCAGTTACACTTTTTACACATCTGAACAAAAGCATGAGTTAATTTCTTGCGCATACCCTTTTTTAAACTGAACTGACTGATCAGAATGAGAGAAACACTGTTTTTATATTTTTATTTTTAAGTAAAAGTTACCCAAATTAAAATTACATACTTATTAGCTTGAAACAGACTCTTCAAATTATTTCTTAAAACTCTTTATTTATTTATTTATTTCTGTAAACGGATTTTCCACTATGGGTTTTCTGGTATAAATCCACTTAAATTGATTAATCCGACAAAATGGCTGCCTTTGAATGCTTTTAAGAAGCTTTTTTGATGACTGGRCAATAAAAAGTACCAGCCAGCATTTATCTACTCATCCATCACATGGTCTTTTGACGGCCTCCGATGATCTCTCACTCAACATTGTGAGTAAAGCATGCACCACATTCTGTATGCCAGTACTTCAGTTTACACAATGCTTTTGTCGTGCTTTTGTGTGAGTGAGCTGTCTGCTTTTAGGATGTATGTGTTTAAACAAGAGTAATTTRAAATTATTTGGAACAAAAGTCAGAAGTATTAATCATATAGTATGTTCAAACACTAAAACATTAGACTGCAGCCATGCAATCTGTCTAAGGTGAAAATAAAGTTAGTTGAGATCAGAAGCTTTAATTCATCAGTTGCCACCCAGAAGCAACTGATTTCACCTGTCCAGTGTAAAAAGGAAAAAAAAAAACATTTTGACTGCATTGCAGATATAAAATTCATATTCTGTGGCCGAAGCTTGATCTTCCTTCTTTTCTCTGCAACAGGGTCTGAACGGAATGTAATCATGGCCGAAATGGGGAACCAGTCTCTTTAGCTTTATATGCCACTCCACATCTTTTTATTCATAACCCTTTCTGCATCAGTTAGAGAAATATATCTATCATCTCCTTGAAGTGCTGATAAAAGTATGCAAATGTCCACCAATAGGATTTCATTCATTTATCTCATCGAGGGCTGCTGTTGTTGCTGTGTTGAAAAAAAATACAATGATGGAGAATATCACTGTAGAGCGAATATTAATTTTAGTTTATGCATTTGTATTCTTATTATTTTTGCCTATTATGTATATATATA